ACTAGTAAAATCTCTGGGTGGTCCATGGAAGTGTTATCGGATCACACTTCATTTGCATTATGGCCATCACAAATATGAAGACTTTGCTAGAGTTGTTCTTATAGCGAATCTTACTATGTAAGTGAACATAAATGATACATCTAGATGGCATGACAACAACATATAGTCATAAGCTGGATATGCAATTGGCCTTGCTCTTAGTTTGTCGGATACCGTCGGCTTCAAAGCACAGCCACACGTATAGTATAGCAGCAAGATTGTGTGGTCGAATATATGGGTGCATGCATCAACACGAGACGGTAGCTTGTGCTGTCACACACATCTATGTATTTTGGCCACAACGTTAAAGGTTTGATGAAAGACAAGCAATTGATCGAATGACTATACACACATACATGCATGGAGATCAACAACATGGCACGTGCGCATGAGCCACCTAACTACTGTAGAAAATATAAGGCCGTTTTAATCGAGGGACCATGCATGCACACATGCATATTCCCTCCGTCCGAAAATACTTGTCATAGAAATGAATATAAATGGATATATCTAAAACTAAAATACATCTACATACATTCATTCTTTGGACAAATATTTTCAGACGGAGGGAGTATAAGGCTGTCCCTAGCAAGCTAATTTGTCTCCAAGGATTCATGATTGGGAATTTGGGATGGGAAAACACCCCGGCGGTGATGACAACCACACTTTACTGAAGAGGCCAAGAGATGATGGCCTAGAACGAACAATCATGCTTTGAGGCTGAGGTTTTTCTTGGGCTGAGGTTACCTTCCCGGTGTGTCTGTGGATAGTGACCGGTCAGTTCTTAAATTCTCGTTGACCCTTTGCACTTTTGATTGCCGGCGCAGCTTTAGGCAGCCTCAGCTGGTGGTGGATCTTGGTCGTCGTCATCGTCGGAGGAGCCGTGGTTGTCGCTGTTGTTAGACAAAGAGTCAGAGCTCCTTCATCTGCCGGACGACTCTATTCTGCTACCGCCATCAGAGCCGTCTCGTGCTTCGACTGCTCAATGACAAGTCGGAGTGCCTTTGCGTTCTTCCTTTGTAGCCGGCAAGCATGCATCTCCATCGTCACCAGCAACCGGTGGTAGACCCAAGCGAGGAACCGCTCGTTCTCGTCGGGCCCCGTCGGCAACCCACAACAGCGACCCACAGATAGCCCCGCTGCGTCCCTTTCCTTTGCCCGCTGCCTCTCACGGCGGGCGACATGCGCATCTGATTTCAGCGGGCGCATCTGGGCTGGTGGAGCAGGCACTAGCACCCACCACCGCTAAGGTAGTCATGGACGACCAACAAAGCAGAAACCATCTCCTCATCATCGGATGAAGAATCATCCGAGCCGCAAATGAAATTGTGGAAAAATAACTCGTCGGCGAAGTCCATTTGTACCTTGCGGGCAAACCGTCGAACAGCTTGCGGGTGTCGTCGAAGAATCAAGCCGGCGAAGAGCCGCGCGCCTCCCCTGGACCAGGTAGCTGCCCTGGCGGCGTTGTTGAAAGAGCTGGCCGGGGGCGAGCGG